AAATATTTGAAGGCAGAATGCGAAAACACATCTTTAACACATCTACATCAACAGAGGTAGCAAACTATCATTAAACAGAGCCGTGTTACAGTCATGGTTGCACAAATGTTACTGAAAAGGGCACACCGACTTACTGCAGCTATTATTATTATCATCATTATTAACATTTGACAATCACATTGATTAAAATAGTATTAAGCTATTAATATGAGATACAGATGCAGAGCATATCGTCTAACTCCTCTTCCAGTTAAGGTAAAGAGAAATCACACCCTGTTTAATGTCAAACCGTTCAATATGTCGTGGCCTGCAGCTCCTGCTCAATGGGAACAATACATATCGTTACCTTCCTCAGCAAAGAAATAATGTAAAGCGTATTTTCATTTTTTAATTTATTTTAGCAGATTTGATAATATAGTTTCTATTCATAAGAAACTTGCTTAAGTTCTAAAAAAGAAGCTTTTATGACATTTGAGACAAACAAATAAGGATACCCTGCACTACATCACACTTTCATGTCCTGACTCTTATTAGTCATCGTCAATCCATTTGTGTACTTTATTTTGTTATCATCTTCTTGAAGCATTTCTCACTACCTGAAGCATTTTCTCACCAGCTAATCCCAAAATCACATGATACAAGGCTGAATATTCAACCACACACCTCCTCTAACATGAGCCATTAAAAAACTCTGGGCCCACCCAGATGAAGTTGTGGGGTCAAGGCAAGAGGTAAGTGAGACGCATTACCTGCAAACTCCGGCAGATGAAAAATATAAAATAAACTCGTTATATTTTTGTACTGGAAAACGGTGGTTAGATTAGGCCATGCTATGCTCTGTTATATAGAACCAAACACAATGTTTGCTTGCTTTATAAGAAACTGTCACTAAGTGTTTTTTCAGGACCCTATGCAGACAGCACAATCCGGAGAGGAGTGAGAAAACACAGGGAAAAAGACTAGATTAGGGGCTGGAAGAAGAACAGAGGACGTGTCCAAGGTGCGCTGGTGTTCAGTGGGGCGTGTCCAGGGCAAACTAGTCCAAGGGAGTCCGGAAGAAAAGAGAAAGCCAATGTCCAAAGCCAGGTGATCCATCCTGACACAGACGAACGAGGTTAAAAGCCGGAGTGGGAAGGATCGGGGGAATAAAAGGGGGGTAACAGGACCAGACGCTCCCAGTCCCGGACCCAGAAGGTCAGGACGCCGTTTTGAAGCCTATGCCTTCGAGTCGCTCCTGGACTCACGGGAAGGCGGCCTTCCAGGCGTCCATCTTTCAAAGCTGAGCCCAGATTGGCAGGAACGTCTGGCTTTTATAGGATGGGGGGCAGGAACCGGAGGCAGGTGCAGGAGATCAGGAATAAAATAAGAAAGGGCTGGAGCGTCCTTAAGAGGAGGGGTTTACGATCGTGACAGAAACAGTACTAACAAGAGGAACCAGAATAATGCAGGGTTGAGAGGAATATCATTTGTAGACAGGATTAATGTCAGTTCATTATGATTGGAACATCAAAACCTAAGTTTGGGAAACTGGTTAACTGAAATTTTTAGAATCCCGAAATGTAATGATAAAGGTCACCAAAGAAATTCAGACCTAATTAGCACTCAGCACAGTGGTCGGTAGCAGCTCACACAAAGAGAAACTGCAGGCAGATTGTGCAGTTGAAATGTGAAACAATCGGCCCACACTGCTGTTGCTGATTCACTAAGTTCCTTTGAGAACTATTGAATAGTATCTAATATTAGCAGTGCAGGACATCTGCATGGTTATTTGAAGCCATTTTCAGAATGTGTTCAATAATCAAAGTCAGGTTTCAATATACAGTATAAAGAATATTTCAATAAAAAAAGCAAAGTGCACTTTTTCCACACTGAATAAGGCCCTTTCCCCTTTAAGTGGACAATCTTCTTTCTGCTCAGCAGTTTAGTCTGCACATCATCATGCATCCTGCTCTTAATCTACAACTACAGTCCAGGGCACTTGATAAGCAGTGCAATTGCATCTTCTTTAAAAAGCCATTTACCTGGGTTACGGACAAGAGACACAAGAAGGCATTAATGAAGCAATATCCTTTGTTTTGTCTGCTTTTTGCAAAAGGGCACCACTAACAGATGAAGGTGAAATATATGGCAGGAAGCATTTTTTCCCTGAAATTCAGCATAAATGGTCCGGATGAATTTGTCACTATGGCAACAAACTACTTGGTAAGCATGCAGTTTAAATGACAAGGTGGCAAATTGATTACAGAAGAGCGCTTCCTTATGTCCTCCTGATCCTCATACCTACAATTTAAGTGGACTTCTCTAATACATTAGATGTAAGATATAACGCTGTACAGTATATTTCATTTTAAGGCTATGTCCCACACATTGCCCAGCTGTAAATGAGCACTGACACAGAGCTGGGCTGAGTCAGGCTTCAGATTCATGACTATCTCCCCACGTCAAACCTCCAGCAACAGGCCTTTATCTCTGCCACCCTGCAGTTTACTCAGTACTAATCCATGCCAAGGCACAATAAAAGAACAAACAGGTTTTTAACCATTGCTGTATAGTCTCCTTTTATCAGATGGCTTATCACTTGTGTGCATTAGCCCAAGGCCTAAACTGCTTGGAATTAAAATTTTTATTTGAATTAAGATACTTTAGTCATTACTGTTTTTTTTAAAGGATTCTGTGTTTTAAATGAGTGACATTTGTCTCTAGCTACGGGTTAATCTGTTTAATAAATATACACTTATATTATATTTTATTCAGTTATCAACACATTTTCAATTAAATCTGAAAAATGAAGAGAGGGATAATAATTTAATACCATTCTGTATTTCTGTTTTTCAGCAATACTTTATATAATAAAATACCTCCAGAAAAAGCCAGTGGAGTATTTTCAAGTAGACAAATGATTCCTGGCTCTTTGGTTTCACTCAGTTGGTAAGATAAAAATAAGAGAGAACAAGAGGGAAGAAGTAAAAGAAATATCAACAGGAGACTAAAGGGGAGGAGGAAAACATCTGAGACAGTGAAGAGAATAGGTACTCCACATGGAGCACAATTTTCAGATACCAAAAGATTTCTATCATGCCACCATCAGCCTCTTCTTTAATCAAAATATTAAAACATTATTGTAAACTGCAAAGAGAGTTTTGATTAAGTATAAGACAGGGCTGTTACTGAGTTGTGTTACTATTGTTTTGGTTTAAAAAGGCCATGTATATTTGTTCTTTTCAGAGTTATTGCAAAAATATCTAACTAGATATCCAAAATCCTAACTGGCCTGCGAATACTTCAGAAAAAAAACTTCAGAAATATTGGGCTGAAGTACAGAATTTCTCGTAATACACTCTTGGGTTCAATTAATTTTTAAATTGGAAGACGTTTCGCTGATCAAACATTGGACAGATCAATTCAAAGAACCTGTGCTGTGGAACTCCCACAGACCCTCGGGCATTAATCACACTAACGAAGGCTTCCTTGCTTGAATCCTCCCATTACAGACAGAAACCTCTGTTTATGCAGTTCTTCAGTTAATATATTAAGTAGATAGACAGTAGATAGAACAGATTTTAAAACAGGGTTTGGTGTTTTTTTATTTCAAACTTTGAGTGGTTTCTACTTTACAAAAGACACTGGAGGAATGAATTCTGAAGACCAAGGAAAATGACAGATGCCTAATTTTAAAAAGGCAGCACAACTTCATTGTCCACCTTTTTATTATATTTATTGAATGGGGTTTTATTTCTAAGACACTGCTCTCAAAATTATATGGAGGGATTGAATTTGTGATTGACAGTGGACAGAGTTAACACAAACAAGCTACTTTACTTGTACTTCTCTGATTCATATGTATAGTTAATTTTTTACAGAGTATCTCAATGCCAGGTCTGATTCTACAGAGGACATTAGTTTAGTAAACTGGCACATTTATACATTGATTACATCCAACCTTTGCTTCAGAACCCTCTTTTGTAAACAGAATTCATCTTTAATTTTAGTTAACAACTCCTATCAAAACAGACATTAATCAGTGGGTCACACAGAGGAGGTTATCTAATTAAAAATATAACTAAAAAGAACAATAAGCTACGATGTACTAATTTAATATAGGAAACTAAATAAACAGAGTTCCGCTTTCCTCATATACTAACTGCAAGTTCCCTTACAAAGTGATAGATCTATCTCATAAATAATGAAATCCTTTTCTCTAGAAGACGTGCATCCCATTTCCTTTTATATCCAGTGCAGATCCAGAGCTTCCTAAGAAATATCTCGGGGGCGACAAGTTTTTTTTGGAAAGACTAATATTACATTTTGAAATATGAAAACAATTGAAGCAGTTTCAGCACATAAAATTGCTTAATCGAATTTCACAACGCTGCAGCTGCTACCCCTATAATTTGCATTTGTTTTAGTTCTGGGGAACTGATATGCCTGTAATACATTACCAGTTATATATCTAGATGACACAAATGTCAGTTTTATTTTTTGTTGCCCTTCCCTTTTCCTTTATTTATTTCTGGAGCAAATACATCCACTTGCATGGTATATTGTGAAAAACTAATGTTAGCACTTCAAGCTAAGATATGTTTCTACCATTAGTGATCTAACACTTGAAAAACAATATGCTAAATGAATGTTTGATACAATGCAATGAAAGCATTTCTCCCTAGGCTAGTAATAGTCATTACACTTGTATGTACTGTAGCACTATGGCCCTGACAGACGAACAAGATCAGGATATTGCATGAGACTCAAAGCAAAAGACACAATCAGGTAACACATTCCTGTGCAGGGGGCTGCAGAGCCAATTTAATCAAGAAGCGTGCCTTCTTCAATGAGAACGAGACTCAACATTTTGTTAAGTGACACTCTGAATTTAAAACTTGCACCGCATGATAAGAAGGAAAAGGAAAATCAGATCATGATGAGGAGCATTGCATCCTTCAGATACGGTATTTTAACAAACAGCCCTTCTTAAAGCCCGCTTGTCCCTTGTAAAGACTTACTTTTCACTGTTGCTGTCCTAGTGCAGTTGTAAAGGATGGCCAGTTCTCCAAAAACTTTTCCTGGTCCCATTGTACACAGCTTCATGCCTTCTTTGGTCACCTCAACCTTTCCATCTAAAAAATAAATAAATAAAAAGGTTATTTATATTCAATAAACAGCTTGTCATGAAATTCCAAATTTAATTTCTTACACAGATGTCTTGCAACTAGATAATGGAAAGCCACCAGGATTTGGTTAGTATTTTGTGGGTGGCAGACACTTGTGTTCAGGAATCGCGGGTTATTATGATCTTCATTTATATTTTATTATTTTTTCTTTATATGTTTGTGAAGAGATCATAGAATACTACTGAGAGCTTACAAAACATACTTGAACAGTGATTCCAGTCGAAATACTGATATCCAAGGGGCTCAAGATCAAATTGAGCTTAATACAGTAACCACATGCAAAGTTCATACAACAATGACAAACAAAACAGGACTAGTTGATGAAGAATGTACGTCCAGCTTAGCCTTCACATTGTATTGGAAGAAAATTCAATCCCTTCTAGCACAGGGCACCTACAGTATGTCAGCTTACTGCTGTGTGGGTTTTGAATGGCAGCTCATTACTGTAACATACATGAGATTGTAAAGTTCATAATGTGTGGGGCTGAATAAAGTGAAATATTGAAATTACTGGCAGATATATACAGTATATATGACAAGGCAGCTTACACACAGCTCCATCCAAAGCCTAAAGGCAGAAATAACCAAATTAAGAAAGGTGTTTTTCTCAAAATGAGCGATTTTACCTGAAGCTACTGTAGATGAAAACACTTGCTTTGGCCTGCAAGTTCAAAGTGGAAATGTGTCCAGTACTTGAGCATGAACACCTCATCCAACAGATTTAGAAACGGAGAGTTTTCTTTAGCATCGGAATGGTGAGCTGCCATCTCATCCTGTGCCATATTGCACACTCTTTTGTTCCCCAGCCCAGCTCAAAGGTCACAGTGTCAAAGCATGAAGAACCAACCCCAGAAATTCCTTTCTTTACCAGCTGACTGAACCACCGTAAAGGCTATAACAGTCTTCATATGTCCCAGATAGGAGTCTAAATTCTCTTGTAATAATGAGGGGACTTATTTAACAGTCAATGGCTTTCACTTCTCTCAGGAATAATACTTATTGTAAAGCAGAAGCTCTTTTGTATCCTTATTAAGAAAGTGCATACAATGGTATATACTGGCTGATATAAAGAAAAATAACTAGAAAGCAGAATTATAGAACTATTACTGTTACATTCGAATAATCTACTATTAGAAATTTACATTATTCATAAATTAAAGTTTATTTTATTTATTATAATCTTTTTGTGAAAATTTAGTGCCACACATGAGGTGCATAATCTCTACTGAAAACCTTTTTAGATTCAACCACAATATCCTCATGTGGAGTAAACAGAACCATAGCTATGTTTCTGACAAAGAGATGGAATCAATGGATTACTGAAAAGGCAAAACAACCAAGTGATACAGAACATACCCATCTTGGATATATTAATTAGCCCCCCACTACCTCCATCTCCATCAACCCATCATGAAAACAATGTAAATTAGACAGCAAGCTCATTAAAATATAGTACAGTATGTGGTAATTCCTTTTCATTTTAATGTCACCATACTTTTTCAGTTAACAAATGTATGCAGGTCTATTCCAGCTTGGATTGTTTTACTATACAGGGTGAGAGTATACTGCTTCTTTTTTCCTGTTATTAATTATTACTGAAGTATTGACATCAAGGCATATAAACCATTAAAAATCTGAAACATCTAATTTGATTCCAGAGTAACCACTAGAATTGTGCTTGTTGGGGTCAATGTCTGAGTTAACATGAAAACACCAGCTACCTGATTTTGAATTCATTTTTAGATCGCAGGTGTCCCAGAGATAGATACACTCCAGGGAAATACTGTGAATCAGGAATGAATGTCAGAAAGCCCAAAGTGGCTACCGTAATAGCTGAGCAGTCTATATGGCAGCGTAGGAGTCAGTTACTGGATTGTTCACACACTGTATCTGGTATTTTGCTAGAGGGGAAGTAAAATTATTTTGTCATCTGGAAAATTCCCACTAGGAAGATCTTCCTAAGATTACGATATTGCTCATTTCGGCTATACACAGAAATTTTAATTATGTCCTGAAACAAACAACATGAGGATCAGTTGCTCTGCACTACAACAAAACATTAGGTTACTCCTATGACCCTGGTTCCCGTAAAATGAAGAGTAACCAGCAACCAAAGGGATAATGCAGGATTAAGCATTTATACTAATCTCACAGACAGGTTATCTGCAACAGGGCAGCTGTCTTTGAGGGGCTTTTGGTTCATCTGGAGAACCACAGTGAAATTTAGTGACTATGTTAAGAGACTGGTACAAATGTGCACAAACAGTAGGTCAGATGCATGAATTTGCACATAGGAGCAGCTCAGCTCTTTACTAGTGTTGTCGTTCATTTGCACATTAATATGCAGTTAAATCATCCGTGTAACAAAACAGTTCATGTCAGGGACCGGCAATAATTTAGTTATTATTTCCCATTAAAACTGAATCCTTACACTATTCCCAAATTTCAGTTTACCAGCACATAACACTCCTTTATTTCTATTTGTTATTAAAAGTCTGCACCCCATGACCTGAAGTAATTTGATTGATAAGGACTGAGATTTTCTTTCCCCACCTGCAGTGCAAACAAGTTCAAATTGCTTCTTTACCACCCCAACATAATAATGATAAACATTATTCTATATGGGGTCTCTAAAGGAGGCTTCTCAAAGCGCTTTACAGAATGACAACTACAACAGTGAAAAAAATACAAGATAAGCACAATGAGAATACACAATGAAGGAGATAGTAGACAGGGGTACCGAATACCCACCCAGAGAAGCTGACTGACTGTCTGATATCCTTGGGGAGAGAGTTCGAGAGCGTAACAGGAGAACGTCCTGTCACCCATAGAGTGTACAGTAGATGGGCGTGGGGGACAGATAGGAATTTTTAATAATTTTTACATTGCTATTGGCTTCTATTGATAAGTCTGCAGTAAAAAATTGAAAATATTACAGGGCTTTTTTTCAGATCATATCAAAATAAAAATGACTTCTCCAACCAATCGTTTGAGGAAGACAAAATAATTATTTTGCATTAGGTGTCATATTGAAGAAGCAATGTCCAAACCTAATATTAATGGTGTTCAATATAGAAAAAAAATATCCCAAGCTGCAATCAGAAACAGCTAACATACTGTATGATGCTTAAAATTAAATTGAGAAGAAACAATAACAATAAATATTAAAATTTAAAAATTAGTGTAACTTTCATGTCACAGCCGAGTGTTAGTGATAGTTAAAAATATACTATATATCCCAACACCATAAATCTCAGTAATGTTATGTCTACTAAGAACGTGTCAAAGAAAAGTGTGCTAGATTCTCATCTTGATTTCTTCTGGTAATAACCTTTACCATCTTTACCTGTCTTATTTTTAAGCAACCAAGTCACAGATTAACAGACAGGCCAAGATTCTACACAACAGCAATTGCAGATTCACTCTTCCTTGCATTAGAATTTCATTGCATTTCAGTTTGTTTGAAACAATCTGGTGTCAATCATAACACCTAAGAGGAAAACAAGATCACACCAATATGAATTTGTATGAACTACATTCACAAATTCACTTTCAGGGATATGTTTACCTGAATCGTAGCATTCAATTATCCCTTTATAAACAGAACTTTATCAATCAATTTCATTTATTAAAATTGATTTTTATTGATGAAGTTTCTTTCAGAAGCATCTCAAGGCACTGTACAAAAGCAAGCAAAAGGTTAGACTCTATAACCCTGGCATTAAAGGTTCAAGCCTGAGTCATATCACCAGAATAAAAACGTATTCAGGATTGAATAAGTGGCTCCTTGAGTGAGAATATCCAGCATCTACGCCACACACTTCCCAACACTACAAGAGCTTGATGAATTATAACTCAACTCAAGATAAGATCATTGAAAACGCAGTGTTACGATTTATTGCTGTGCAATTCACACATCTCCCAAGCAAAGTTTAATTCTCTTATCAGACACCACCAGAGGAAAATGGCTCGCAGGTACTGAAGAAGGAAATTAATCCTTCTTATTGGTGCAACCGTTCAATTGTCACAGTGATTGAAATGATACTTCTAGGAAAAGGATAAGATGTTATAATAAAGTCTCATTATGATATTAATATTTAAACAAAGGGGTTTTTAAGCAGTTTAGAAAGGCTGTTTCTGTTTTCAGTATCTTGTCTTACTGATTGTGCTTTAGTTCCCATCCACCCAATGGCCATACCACAACACATTCAATTCATTCAACTCTTCGTGAAACGCATTATCTCTCCTAGGTATGCATAAGGGAACTGACAATGTAAAACTGAAGAGATTTTATTCGAACTCTTTCCTGCTGATAAGATTTTCCAAGACCGTTTAAATTATCTAATATCCTCACAGTCTAAAAGGTAACAGATCAGTTAATCCAATAACTTCTCTTATCTGGTAATCTACTCAATCACTAGCTAAGAACTAGAGCTGCAGTCCAATGAAATCCATTTGGTAAGAGTTTAAGGTTAATCTAAAAAGGTTAATGCATTGTGTTAAAACGCCACCTGCTTTTAATCAATCTAAGGATCATGCAGGTATTTAGTGTATTAATTATAGTTCATTAAATCTTATTCAGCAACCCAATAGTAAAGCATACATTGCAAAAACATGATGTCCAGAGAATCAAACCCCATTCTGACATCATAGCAGAGTTTAGTTGGAAAGGAAAATTAAAACTGTAGCATCACTAAAAAAAAGACATTTGGCTTCCCAGACCAGAAAAATCCCATCGTAATATACACAATAATGTCAGTCCAGAATGTGTTGTGTTTTTGTGACCTGTTAACAAATAAAACAGAAGCTTCAAAGCTAATTTTGTTTGCATTGGAATATCCAGTCCTTTCCCTGCTCAGTCAAAGGAGGTACTAACACCTACAGGATATATCTTCAGTATGCTGAGCACTGTACAGTACATGTACAAAAGGAAAATGCAAATGCTC